CGAGGACTCGAAAAAAACACACACTTGTTCATCTCCTGACAAAAGATAATTTCAGTAGGGTAAGATTTTGGGCACTGCTGTTGCTATAGGCTATAAAATGTTAACGATCACGTGAATATCATGCGCGAGAGCAAGAGAGTGATTATGTTAACCAAAATGTATTTACACACCCAAAATTAAGTTTGCCCTATAGCCTACATATTTATTTATCTATTCAACTGTATTGTTTAAGAAATTAAAGCAGTAACTCTATGATAAAAAATAAAGTTTGCTCACCTGTTGAGTCAAGCGGAGAAATAAAAACGCACTTAGCCTAATTTAATATCGTGTTTTATTTGCTACCTGTTTTGTCATTATGAATTTGCTTCTGTTATTAAAGATCAGAAAATGAATCGTTACAATTTATAGATCTAATCAGGGTCATAAATTAATCAGGGTAAAAGTGCAAAGAAAAGTGACTAAATTGATATTTATTTAAAATAAAATAAAAGTGGGGGGAAATGCAAGAAAAAATTGACTCGTTTTTTTTTTGTATTTTATATTAAATATTATTGCGTCTGTTTCTGTGCCTAATTGTGTGTTTAAAATAGTTTACTAAAATGTACAGTGTATAGGCCTACTGTATGTTTTATATGATAAAAAAATGCCCAGGGGTCAATTATTGCCTCTTAATTTAAAAAAGAATTCAAAAGATTATTATTTCTGACACTGCTCATGGTTATTTTTCCAGGCTCTAAAACAAAAACAGTGTTGATTGGTTAAAAGGCATCTATAGCCATAACAATCGTTTTATTTTTAACAAGCAGCGAACTGAATATCTGAGAAAAGGTAGGCCTAATTATTTTTGAACTACTATTTGATGTTATTTATTTAACGTAATTAAAAATGTAATTATTTATGGAATATATCTTTAACGTGCATCATAGACTTCAGTGAAACCGAGTCGCGCGCACGAGCGCAGGCTGCACACACTCAGAAACACTCAACAGGTTTGCTGCTGTTTCTCAGACATACTGTGTCTGTCATATTCATGCTGCTTGTGCTTTTATCTGCAAATAAAGAGCGCCGCACGATGATCGGTGATACTCGTCTTTCTAAATAATGGCGAAAACCTGTCAACGTACAAAGTGCCTCCACTTAGCCGTGTATTTTCACCAATTTATTGCTGGAAGAGGTTAAATCGAGTGCCACGGGTTGAACCTTCTGATACCAACTCCTCATTTTGATATAGCATCAAAGCAGTGCATTGAGAGCTAGAAGAACGGTGACGAATAAAGTGAGACTTGGGATTTATTTGTTTTTTTGGCACCGTTTACATTTCGAATGCATATCCTCAAAGTGTTTTTTTAATCATATATGCTGTCTTTCAGATATACTTTATCATTTTAAAATGTTATATGAATGAACGGAGTTATTTACCCTGCAGTTTCTCCCCTTTTGTCACTATTCTATTCGTGGGTAGACACAATATTTGATCTGGAATGAGAGAGGGGATTATCGTCATTTCTAAACGATCGATTTATCGATGTTGGGTGGATTTAAGCTGATTGAAATTTAATAGATTTTTCGTGATGGGTTGAATAATTGCAGCATTTAAATGCAAGCCATATTTTATTCACATTTAGTGTTTTCAGTGTAATCACTCAAATTAAGACAATGCACAGAAAACAAAAGTCAGATTCTTCACAATATCAAACTGAAAGACAATATACTGTTCCTTTAAAATGACCCCCCCCCCTCCCCCTCCCTCCCTCCCTCCCCCCCTTGCATGAATTCCATTTTTGTTTTGCATAACAATCGTCAAACATCATTTTAATTTGAAGGATTTTGCATATTACCCCCTCTATATAAAAGCAAATTCTCTAACAAAAGAACTACAGTCTAGGGAAGAGATAAATGATCTGAACAGTGGAAATGAGTCTTATATTATATTAAATGCACTTAAATTTGTCTAGCAGCATTAAAATCGAGATGCGTTAATCAAACAATATACCGGCGACTAAAATGAATTGAAATAAGCGTTCCTCGAGACGGCTTGTTCTAAATATTTGTTTGCCTTCGGTCTACTGATAACATGTAATCTCGCCATGTTAGGAACCCTATATGCACGAAGCACGACTCGCATGCCTGAGCCTGCTAATATATGCAGTTACTCCAGAGTTCACCTTTCACCTCTTGACCTCTGTTCTGCCTCGAGACAGCAGTGACCCGGTCAGTGACTCACAGAGAAAAGGCTGCATTATTAATATGTGTTGCGGCGTCTTTCACACTTCTTTCAAGTTTAAAATGTTTATTGTAGGCTTCTAGTTAATTAAAGCTGTGCAAAATTATATAATGAGACCACTTATTAACGTATCGTTTCAATTGAATATATGTAATAACAATAAAATAACAATTATTGTTTATTCATCGATACGTTTTCTTTATATGACTTGATCCATTATCTTTTCTGGTCAAGTTTTTTGAAGATAGAAAAAAAGTATTAAAACAAAGAAGATTAGATAATCAGCTTTTTATGAATAATGGAAATTCAAAACCCTCCAAGTAACTTTTTTAATAAAAAAAATCATATTATTAACTAGATATATGACTATTATTTTTGTACGCTTTTAAGCGTGAATGCGGACTTAATGTTCCCAGGTTTAGGAGAGAATAAAGCATAGGCTTGTTTACGATACTGTATATTCTTTCTCGAAACGTTTGACGCATGAATGTACAGCGTTCAGGAAGAACGTTTTTTTGTCTAGTATAGCTCATTAGATTTCACCTTCACAAGCTGATGTGCGTTTTAGCTCACCCGCGTGCAGGGCTTAATGCCCACGTTATGGCATGTGGGCGCAGAAACAGATAACGTGATAGAATCAAGTCTAATACTCACTGCACTGTTGCATTTTACTCAGTAATTGAGAGGAAACGATATTACCTCGCTTATAGCGATGCTCTTAGGATGATGACCAAAGCCATACATTATTTTATGTATTAGAGGCCTAATATCAGTTGAGTCTGAGTGAGCAGCAATGACTCAAATACACAGAGAGAAAAATCTGTAGTGTTCTGCTAGTGTCAGCCACACAAACTGAAAAAATACACTTTTATTTTACCTTTACAACTAAGTAAAAAAAAAAAAAAAAAAAAAATACTGATCTTATTTACTTAAAGTAAGCTTTTATTTTAAACTAACCAACATGTGTTATTCAGCTAATAAATATAGGCTAAGTAAATAAAAGGAAGTCATAATTATTATTATTATATAGGTATAACAAAACGTTATGTTGACTGGCATCAGGTTCATGCAAAAGTGTACATCAAAAGTACAGAACATTCAGCTTCATTAATTGCCCACATTCCTATACTATAAAACAATGTAATATATGAAAATAGTGAAGATTTAGATTTAAATGTGAACTTATGTAAAATCACTTTGTGTGTATTGCTTATTAAAAGGCATAAGCACACACATATAGGCTACATTATAGGCTATACGTGTGTGTGTGTGTGTGTATATATATATATAAAAAAATTAGGGGAAAATATCTGGGATGATTTTAATAGTGTGTGTATATATATATATATATATATATATATAATTAGGGGAAACTATCTGGGATGATTTTAATAGTGTGTATATATATATATATATATATATATATATATATATATATATAGACACACACACAGTAGTCCACATTTGAAGTGGATCAAAACCTTTCCCCCAAGTTATACATGAATTTTGAACAATACCCGTTCTTGTCTTAGGACAACTTTTTCCTAACTTTTTTGATCCATTTCAAATGTTGACTACTGTATAACAACATAGAAAAATCATCCCATACAGTTTCACCTAATTATAGCAGTCAAAATTGAATATGAAATGATTGAAATATGGGAAAAATAATTAAATTTTAAATCAATAAAAATCTTTCAAAATACTTACAAAGCAAACGTGTTTAGAACATGTTTATATGCATTTACTATAGCTGTCAATTGGTTATTTTAAAACATAGTCGTCCTCATACTGTCCATTTATGTGGCGGCCTCTGATGGGTGGTCCTTAAAATGGCTGGTTACTGTTGCACACTAACAAAAGGAGACACACAGCTTCCAACACCTCTTCACATCCCACACACAGTCTCCATTACAAACACACATTGTCTCAGTTCTTATGCATCGCAAGCAGTAAAATGAAGAACTGATACTCATTTGTTTGCTTGCCAACGGCACACATAAGAGGCGGAAGGTAGAGGGAAGGTCTTACGGCACCTTGCATATATATATCGCTCATGGGCGTGCGCACGCAGACCACTTTCTAGCCCTCCTTTCTCCTACCATTTACGACTCCAGAGAACAGATGTTTCGGGACAGCTTACAGCCTCAGCGTATTTCTGTGTACAAAGCAAATAGCAGCACTCAGCACTTCTAGCTGGCTAAGAAATTGCGCTCTCTGAGAAGGGGGAGGGGGAGAACGGAGCCCAGAGTCTAGGAATCCGAATGAGGAAGAGAACGGGAGACGCTTACCGAGGTGAAACTGTGTCAAGGTTACGTTCAGGGGGGTTTTGCATTCAAATCAGTGCACTACACTATTAAAAAATATGTGTTCTTGGCATCTATGGTTCTATAAAGAACCTTTGACATCCATGGAACCTTTCCATTGCACAAAAGGTTCTTTACAGTGGAAATGGGTTCTTCATGTTACTCACACTAAGAGTTGCTGTGAAAACGCCCTCTTGGAACCTTTATTTTAAAGAGTGTAGGTGATGTGAATGGTCCTACAAGCTCTTCCTCTGTGAGTGTCACTGGCATATATAAAGGAGGCCTTTATGTGTGGATCCTGGGAAACAAGCGCTGACCTCTATCGTGTAGCACTGCGGACTCTCAAGGTTTGGATTGCCCTTTGAAAAGTTGCAGACTAGCACTACTGGGACCTAAAAGCAAGACAACAAGAGAGCATGTATATTTTTGCTGATGCAGATATTTGGGCTACAAAAACATAAAAAAAAAAAAATAATAAAAAAAACTACATTTATTGCACAAAAGCAAGTGGCATATTCTTCATAAAACAAAGAGCAATGCGGAAAAAATTAATAGCAATATTTCAAGGCTTTCTCTTAACAGAAACAAGGAGCAATTTCAGTGCCATATGTTTTGTTCCGTTTCATCATTCACCAAAACAAACCTTTTATTTCATACCTTCCATATTGAACGCCTGCTGTAAACAAAAGTGCAAAACAAATATGCAAACACAAGCATATTTGACCTTTCATGTTCACATTTTCAGCTAACCAAAAATGAATAAATGAGCCCTGCAATGCTTATTTGTCTGAACTACGCCAACCCCCCAAACACACACACACACACACTTCCCTTCTGCCTTCGGTGAGGTTGCCATAGTGATAGCCTCACAGACACACGATGAGGAGAACGAGGAGGTGGAGGGGGAGATGAGAAGAGCAGAGGACGCCGTCTTTCTGTCTGTCTTCCAATAAGACATTGTGCCCAATCTACCGATCCATGTCGAACAGGAGCAGAACCTTCCGACGGATGCAACCGTCCCATTATCAGAGCGACGCACCTGAAAGTCATGAATTGGGTTAATATGGTAAATGAATTGCACAATGATAATTAATTTTGCACCATTTTTGCATGTATATTAATGTGCCCATTGTATAGAAATACAGACAAATATATATATATATATATATAGACTGGCCAATAGAAATGCACATCATTATCATGCAGTATAGCTCTTCTGCTGATGCATTTTTAGGTCACGAAACTTTTTATATATATACACATATATATGCAAATAAAATCATCCAAATTCAATTGTGATACAATACTCATTATAAAATACTTCAAATGCTGTATAACCTATACTGCATGATAATTATACATTTCTATTAGTCAGTCAGTGCATAGGGGAAAAGCCTTGGTGCTCAATCAACCCACTGTTTTAGTTTTCATCTTAACCGTCTTCCCCCTCTCTCCTATTCATCCATCCCTCCACCATTCCTCTCCTCCACTGGGCCATTTATCTTTCCCTCCCTCTGCATCGCTCGCTGCCCAGCCGATATCAAGGCGTGATCCTGAGCCCTTCAAAGGTCAAGTGATACAAGGTCATTGGCGGGTCAGGCCTGCTGACTGGCTGACCTCCGCAAGGATATCCGCCAGCAGCCAATCACACGCCGGCGTCTCCCACAGCAGCCTGCCTCTATCCCTGGCGGGCCCTCGGCGGCGCGTCACGTGATCCTTAACGGACTGAAGCATCATGATGGAAATGATTAATGATGCTTTTAGTACCTGTTTAGAATGAAGCTGTCCACACTGCACTGTAATTACCCACTCCCAGGCGGCAGCTGCCTAACATAATTGCTTTTTGTTTGTTGACCTGGTTTACCAGAGAGAAAGATGGCTTTAGGTAGGTGAAGTGTGAGCGTTTGTGCATGTTGGCATTTTATAGAAGCAAGAAAGGTGTGCGTGATCATACGTGATGTCAGATTTAGCTCCATCCTTAAAAGGCTCGGCTGAACCATGTGATTTTTTTTTTTCCCGCTTCAGGCAGAAAGGAATTTTGTTTTATTTTTGAAAGTGCATTTGATAATTCCTCATTTTTATGAGGCACTCTGGCCACTGAGAGGTAAACACGAGACGTGTAAATCTGCAATAAAGTTTCGGAATCAACAGCTGTGATTGTAATAAGTAATTCGAAATAAACTGAGACATTGGTGAATGAAACTCTCCTTCCTCTAATTTCTGTCCATACGTCTTAAAACCAACCAATATTTCAGAAGAAAGCACTTAAACTGTTATACAGCTATAAACACTGCTTGCATTTGGTCACACATGAATCAAATGATGGTCTCCAAAGAGCTTCAAAGAATGTTCATATTGTCAGCGACAGTATTAAACCGGAATCGCGATGGGCTGATTTGAGAGTCTGAGTTGGGAATATAGAGTTTGAGTGTTTCCCAACTTTATATTTGCTCCAGAAAGCCCCACAGCCATCATTTAGGCTCAAGTACCCACTGACAACAAAGGAGACATGTCACACAGTATAGCATTATCAACAGTATTATTAAGATAGTCATTAAAGTAAGAACAAATATATACAGTATACATATGCAGTGTGTGTGTGTGTTATTCCCTGGTTGTGATAGTAATACCAGAAATATTTGATCTTTTGTATTTTGGTCCCCATAAGGAAAACCGGCTTATAATTAAAATTAAGTGATGCTTTCTGAAAATGTAAAAATGCAGAATGTTTTCTGTGAGGGGTAGGGGATTAATATACAGTATGTACAGTTGTACAGTATAAAAATCAAAATGTCTATGGAAAATCCACATAAAACATGGCAACCCAAGACAGGCAGACACAATAGGTGTGTACTCTATAGTGTCTTTCAAAACACTCACATTTTTTTCTTTTCTTTTTTTAATAAAATACCTTTTTATTTTATTTTAAATAATAACTGTTAAGTTGATAAATAAATGGTTTTCATTAAATATATAATATTGACTTGTTAAACCTATAAAATGCATTAAAGGTACGGTAGGCAATTTTCGGAGAGGCTAACAATAGCAAGTTAGCTTTGAAAGCATGAGATCCCTTCCTTCAGAGCGTCTCCAAAGCCACACCTCCTTCACAACACATGAACGCACACAGCAGGCTGGTAGTGGTAATAGTGTTGCCATTGAAATGCATAAATTCGAGTCTCGGGTTTCAATCTCTTCCAAATTACAGTAGTTATGGCGTGAACAGTAAACTGGAACTGTAAAAGGAGGCTGCTGTTTAGGTTGCAGTGGGCGTGACTGACGTATGTCTAACTCTGCATAGCATGAAACGCACTGATGACGTGTGATGTCTGCGTGAGCAGCTGTGCGGAGGTATGGAATACATACAGTACATTGAGAGGCAGGTAGGACATTCGGACCGGATGCAATGATTGGACGAACATTTTATGGTCCTACGCCTTCCACAGACGATATATTTACATATAAATTAATTTAGACCACTTAACTTAAGCCGAGTGCACACTGTACGATTTATAATAGTCCTTTACCATTGTTCCTTTTTCAGACTGTACGAACATGATCCTCACTGTAAGCCATGTCACACTGTAGGATCTCAGTTGTCATTAATGTCAGACTGTACGGCAGTCAAGACACGTTAAAAAACGGACACACAAAAGAAAAATCGTCCGAAGTTTTACATCAATCAATGACACGTTTGGTGCTGCATTACACGCGGGATTGAAATGGTGGCTACAAAGAAATTTCTAACGTTAATTTTGGTCATGGCTTGTCTTGAAAAACAAAGGCAATTTGACAGTTGTCGTAGAAGTCACACTGCAGACTGTGAGTCAAAACTTCTGACACTGCCAGAATTTCATTTGAGGTCAAAATTGATCGCAACGGACATTAATCGGCTGTAGGTGAACATGTCAAACTAATGTTCAAAGACTTCCGATTTTAGCCTAGGATCAGAGGAATCTTTTAGGATTTGCAAAATTTGTCTCAGACGGCAAAATCGTGGGCAAAATCGTACAGTGTAAACCCGGCTTTAGTGATCGCTATCAAGATGTGAAGAGACTTTCAACAAGCATAACAAAAATCGTTTCTGGAACAAATCACCTACCCTCCCTTTAAATCTTTGCACGTACCCTTGGGGACCTGCCCAGGCCCCCCTAGGGGAACTTGGCTATAACTGATGTGGATATTACTGTACCTAAAGCTCTATAAGCATTACACAAGACGCTGTGAAATCTGTGCCTACCATTTTAAATTCTGTGAAGCTAAAAAATTTCCACAAAGAATGAATCTACACTAATACGGTTGCCAAATGATTTACATCATGAACATACATTCCACTTGTCCCAACGTTTTTCACATTTTCACATCTCTACTTCAAGAAATTGTATTCACAACTTACATTTTAATTCCCTATCCCTAACGTGATGTATTTCCGAGTGCAACAGGACAATCCATGATGCAAGGCAGGACTTATTTTATGACAGGTGATTGGTGGGGATGGGGTGTAAAATACGTCAGAAAAATGTACAAACAAATATTTCTTTGGAATAACATGCACTTCTAAATCGAGCTCAACAACACCAGGAAAGTGTATGAAGAAAGTAAATAGGGTCAATTTGGCTTCTGCAGAGCTGGCATTGGGATTTACAGCTCATATTTCACATTGATCCACAGTCCTTATTATTAATGAGCAAGTGGCAATAAGAGTAAATGAACTGAAGGGAAACAAAGCAAATAAATAGTGCATTTCCAAACAGGTATAAAAACAATATGGTGGAAAACAACTAGGTCCGTGACCCCTTTTATCTCACCTTTTCAAAATATTAGCAACTGATATTTAAAACATGAATTTATACAAATAAATCACAACCAATTGTCAATTCTCTCTCCCACAGGTCCGGCATTATATGCACATCTGCATTCTTCTAGCACACAGTGTCATATTTGTCATTGAACTTTCGCATCTGCTCTGCATAGCGCCATTGATCCCTGACCATAGCGACGACAACGAGACCCAGATAAACAGGCCATGGTTGACCTATAGGCTGGCACGGACCGACTGTCCATAAATTTGCAGCTCTTTTCAGCCTGGTACGTCACACCCCGTTTCCTGCGCCAAAACGAGGGGACAGAGGCAGGCTGCTATCAGCCCTCTCTGTGTGAGCAGCTTTCATCCTCAGGCTGGTTCTCACATAACTCAGCCACAGTGTCTCTCCCTCTGCCTCATAAATAACATCCCTATCGTCTGATAATGCCCACTTAATGCTTAGTCAATAAACCCCACAGTGCCATGGTTTCTCCCCTCTCTCTTTCGTACATAAATATAAATAGTACACTCCGATTGATGTGACACTCGGGTCTCGCTCCATCTGGGCAGAGAGGAGAAGCCCGAAGGGCCCGGAGAGGAGCGATGGAGGAGAGGAAGAGAGAACTGCAGGTGTTGGGATGAGATAGCGGCCGGAATGGTGGGATGGGCACTGACTGATCACCTGAGAGAAGCGGCTGCTAATGTAATAATTAATTAACTTATTGCTTTCTTCCGTTCACACGGCGGGGATTATTTGGCCCACTTGGATTATGTTCCAGGTTCAGTAAATTAAGCTCAATCGACAGAATTTGTGGCATATTGTTGATTACAACAAAAAAGTCATTTCCGTTTGTCCCTCGTTTTCTTTTAAAAAAGCAAAAACCTTGGTTACAGCGTGGCACTTACAAAGGAAGTCAAGCCAGGTCAATGGGGTCAATCCGAAAACGCTAAAATACTCAGTTTCAATAGTAAAGCTAACATGATTTTTTTTTTAAAATAAAGAAAACACTTACAAAGCCTTTTGCGTTAAATTAAATTTTAATGGCAACATATTGGTAATTCTAAAATGACTGTAAAATTATGATATAAACATGTACTGCTACTGTTCAAATAATGCACGTTTTAACAGAATAATTATGCCTGGTTTCACAGACAGGGCTTAGATTAAGCCAGAATTAGGCTTTAGTTCAATTAGGACATTTAAGTAGCTTTTATAAACGTTCCTTACAACAAAA